TTTTTTTTTTTTTTTTTTTTTTTTATTATTCAAAGAAAATAGTTATTACACGATTATTATAAATGGTACTCAAAAATCATAAGTTAACAATACACTTCAGAAGTCTTAAATTTAAGTAATTAATAACAGTATAATTTATCTATTTTCTAAGGGACCGGAACCAGCCGTGGCTACTACTTCGGTTTGTGTGGGGGTTGGCATCCTATTATTTGTTACCTTATTTCTAGTTTCTAAGACTAACCTTATATACCTATATACCATGTTCCAATTTGCTTTTGTTTCCAACATGACCTTAATAACTGTCTCTTTTTTGATTTCGCAGTTCACGGCCGCCTGTATCGTATCTCTTTCCGAACGGAAATATGCGCAGCGGAAGAAAGCATGATCAGGATCATCCCTCTCCACGCCGCACATAAAACATCCTGGGTTTTCTCTAATTCTGAACTTATGTAGATATGATCCAAAACAGCCGTGCCCTGTCAGGAACTGTGTCAGATAATAATCTGGGACACCATGTCCCCTGTTCATCCAGTCAAAAAAGTTACTACCGATTACTGCTCTCGTCCACCTCTCTCTGTCATCTCTCCAGTATATTTCATTGTACCATTTTCTCAATATATCTTGTCTAATCTCTCCCTTATCTTCTATTTTATTCATTATTCTTATTCTCTCCTCAACCATCAATTCAGGGGGGGGGGATGCCCGAGATTATATCCAAAGCAAAATCGGAACATGTCCGATACCCGCTGCAGAGTGTCAACTTTAAGGGTCTTAATGTCTTTCTGATAGTGTTAACATTTTTCTTTAATTTAATTCCATCTGCCCATATTTGAATTCCGTAGAGAATAATTGACATGATGGCATTTACAATTAGTTTTTTTCTTTAGGAAAGAAGGGCCATTTACGTTTGGTAGAAGACACTTATAGCTTCTTGCGACCTTTTTTGCTTTTTCACATACATAATTGATATGACAGCTCATATTAAAATTCTTACCTAATTGAAAACCTAGATATCTCATATTATCTTTGGTTTTGATGGTGGTTTCTCCTACCTTGATCTCAGCATCTTCTCTATCTACTTTTTTACTCCATAAAATTGTCGCTTCTGACTTATTACTTTCTACTTCTAGTCTTTTGTCTTTTAATTTGTTTTTGATTTTATTGGTGATTCTATAGGAATTGTTAAGAAGTGATTGTTTATTGTAGCATAACAGAATGACTAGAATATCGTCGGCATATACGAGTTTTCCTGCAGCGGGGTCGGTCCTAAGCCTAACAATTTCATCAAAGAGGATGATGAATAGGAGAGGCCCGATCACCGAACCTTGACTGATACCGCTATTTACCGGAAATGTGAGCTTTTCGCAAGTGATAGATCTGTCTTTGAGGTAACTTTTTATCGACTGTATTAGGTACGGGGCAACTTTTTTCCTTTCAAGTGCATTAATGATGTCTTTATATTCTGCGGAGTTAAATGCGTTTTTGATATCCAAACCCAAGATACACATTAATTTCCTCCGGTGAATCGGGTCTCTCCTATTCATTTCAAAAATGTCCTTAAGTCTACGTAGTGCCTTTATAGTTGAATAGCCCTTACGAAACCCAAATTGTTTCGGAGAGAGTTCTAGGCCTTCTAGGATTCTTCCCGCTAAAATGTGTTCATATAATTTACTGATACAATTGAGCATGCATATTGGTCGGAATCTCCGAGCGTGCGGATCACCTTTGGGGATAAGAGCCAATCTAGCATTTTTCCACACGTCCGGAAACTCCCCCCTCTTTGCAAACTCGTTCAGCATCTCTAATATAAATTATTCACAGTCTCAGTGATCTCTTCGTCATCCAGTGCAGAGGCGGCGTATGTTTTGGGGTTTCTGAGCTTTCTCCTAATTATCTTGTAACCATTTCCCCAGGGATCTTTATCTAAATCAGATATTAACTTCTTCCATTTTTCTTGCTTCTCGTTTCTAATTTTGTTAGTAAGCTCGTTCTTAAGTTCTTGCCATTTTTGTTGTATTTCATTGACTTTTTGTGTTTGTTGAGGATTTCCATTTCTGGATTTTTTCCTTTCTCTCATAATGTCTCTTCTAAGCCTTTGGCATTTACTTCTAATCTGGCCGATTTCCCTAGTCCAACAATAGAGTGGTTCTTTCTTAGGGGCATTTTCTTTCCTTAAAAATAGAGAGTCACTGATTCTGTGAATAACCTCCTCACATATTTCAGGTGAAATTTTTCCTGTTAGTTTAATTTTCTCGATCTCTTCTCTAGTTTTTTTACAGAATTCTGGGTATTTTTTTGGGTTAAGAAACCATCCTTGCCTGTTTGCTGTATTTACATTTGGTTCCCTATTACCATATTTAATTTCTAAGCATCTATGATCGCTATGTGTATGGATTGTCAGTACTTCCATTTCCACATTATTCGCTATCTCAGGAGACACCAACACAAGATCCACAACCGAGTGACCTCTGTTTCCAATAAAAGTTGGTATGAATTTTTTGGAGTCATTTTTGATTACTAAATTTTTCTCTTCAATAAATAGTTCCATTCTTTTCCCTCTTTCTTCTCTTTTTATATCTCCCCAGTATGTGGATCTCGCGTTGAAGTCACCTGTTACAATAAATGGGGGTTCCTTCATGTCCATAAATATGCCAAGTCTATTGATTGCGTCTTCCATTTCTTGTTTTTTCTGATTGGGGGACCAGTAAACGTTAATAAAAGTAATTCCCTTCCATTGGAATGAGACAAAGTCCTCATCACCTGACCAGTTTGAGGTCATTCCTTTTAATTTATTCGTGACTCTAGCAGCAGAAGTCCTAGCATTTCCTAGATATAGACCTTCCAACTCTGACTTTCTTTCATTTGGTTCTGTGATTAAAACTATTCCAGCTTCTTTACTTAGTTCTTCTCTTCTAATGAAATCGTGTGCATCAACACTTCCATTCACGTTACACAGAAGGGCTAGGAAGGGTTCTCTTACAGCTTTATCTTCATTTACTTCCCTATTTTCTATTTGAGTTATTCTATCCTGACTACTGTGAAAGTATTTATCTAATTTTAGTTGTTTACTGATTGAACTAGGTTTACAAGTATTTACGTTATTAAGAGTAGGTAATAACACTTTTTCGATTGAATGATGAGGAGAGTGGGATCGTAAAAGGTTTGAGATTTCCGATTTTTCTTGTGTGGAGTTTTGGTGTTGAGGTATTCTGTGCTGCGAATCATCAAGGATGGAGAATCTGTTTTTATATGGTGTGAGTGGTGTGCGATTGTTTGTTAAAGGGTGATATCTTGGTTTGAGAGCATTCTCTATTCTTGAGAGGGAGTTCCCAAAAAGAGAATCTATGTGGTCTTCTAATGATCTCTCGCGCAAAGGGATTGTATTGTCATTACTCATATTGCATTATTCCGGTGATGTGGCTCATGAGATTGCTGCTATGTTGTTGTGATAGTTCCTTCCATATACTTGGGTTTGCCTCTCTAAAACAGCGTGCCGTTTGCTTTTCGAATTCTCGATGTAATTGGGGACAATCTTTATCAGTGGGTAAGTGGTTGTAAGTTCCTTTTCCGTTGTTCCTTCTCCTACAGTTTATACAATTTGTAAGGGCTTTGCAGTCAGATATTTGGTGATCTGGTGATCCGCATTTTTTACATAGTGTTTTTTCCTCACATTTAGATGATGCGTGGAAGCTGAAACATTTGGTACAGTTTGAGACATATATAATTGGAGTAATTGTTACTCTTCTAAACACCGAAAAAAAAAGGGAAGTTAAATTAACATTCTGAATGTAAAAAAAGTGTGCGAGAACTTATAAATGCTGAATTACCCGCCACAGCACTTAATTTTACATCTTGGCATTGCTGAAGTAACTGCTGTGGCAGGTATTTTAGCATTTTGTAAGTTCTCGCACACTTTTTTTACATCCAGAATGTTAAATCAACTTCAATTTTTTTTCGGTGAAGTGATTTTTTGTGGGGAGGAATTCTCGTTTGTCATTAATTGTTTCTAGTAGAGGGGATGTTACTCTCATAAACACTGTCATCTTTGAAGCGTCGATTCGTGATGTTACTTTCCTGAATATTTTAATGTTATCTCTTATATATTCTCTATTGTATTGAGAGTTATCCAGATTCTCTTCTATCATTCCGATGATCTGTTCATCCGAAAAGTCAGCGTTTAATGCTGCTATTTTCATAACTTCTGAGGGTTTCTTGATTGATATCTCTAATTGTTCCTTAGTTGCTTCGTTTATCGCCTTTTGAAGGCCGTTTTTAAAATTTTCTTTTTCAGTGGATATGCTTTTTATATGTATCTTTTTTCCATCGTTGGAAAATCCTATCCAAGTTATTTTGGAGTTTTGGAAGGATTTTGATTTATCCATCAGGAACTCCTCAAGGTTTCTTTCTTCCTTTTTAATGACTTTACGTTCCCCTTTTAGTATTAGTTCAAAATTGAAGATATTATCATTCTTCTTCGCGATTTGTGTGCATTGTAGATTCTTCCTGAGTTTCTCAGCATATGGTTGTAGGGCTGGGTATTCTTCTTTGCTTTTCACTCCTTGTTGTATGTTTTTGTCTATTTGCTTGAAGGATTGTTGAACGTTCTCGTTGTTTTTGTTCAGCATTTTCCTGATCATTTTAAGTTCCTCCATAGTTTCTTGATGTTTCTTTAGAGAGTCGTTTTGGTAGTTTTTCGGTTCCTGTATATCCTTGGACATTTGATTTACCTGGTTTTCGTCTGATTTATTGATTTGGTGTTTCTTCATGAAGTGTTCCTCGAGGAATATGTATAAGTTATGGAATTGTCGTCTTAGAGCATTTGCATCTGTTGTTGGGTGAGTTTTTAGGTAGTTCTCACATATTTTTTGCGTTATTTCAATGTCCTCATTTTCAGGTGTTCGGTTTGCTGTTTCATTTTTGGTTTTATCAGATGTTGTGGAGGAAAATAGTGTTTCTGGATTTATAATTGGTTTTTCGCTATTGTTTTCGTTTGACGTGTTTTTTCGTGTTTGGGATGTTGTTCTTTGTTTTACGTTCGGGTTTTGGTTGTTGGTGTTGTTAGGTTCTTTTTTAGGTTTATGTTGGGTCTGTTTCGGGGTCTGTGTGCGGGAGCGAGGGGTTGTACCCTTTGCTGTTCTTGTGCCTCTCAAACGTCCTCTTCCTCTTCCTCTGTTTCTTGCAGTTTGCCATGAGCTATCTTCTTCTTCTGATGTTTCGGTTTCTGTTTCCAATTGTTCTTTGGAGTTTGTTTGTTTCGAAAAGAAGGATAGGATTTTTTGTTGAGAGTTGTCGCTTATTTTCGGCTTCAGGTTCCTTGATGTTGTTCCGAGGTCGGATTCACTAAAAGATCTGTTTAAGGATGATGAAGTTCTCTTCCTTGAGTTTCTCGTTTCTTCTATGTCCATTTTCTCCGGGGTTGAGGTTCTAAATTGACTTGCTATTTGTGGGTCAAATTCTGGTAGTAGTTTAGTGAGTTCTTCTTTCTTCTTTTCCAGTTGGCTTACATTTTCCAGTAGTTCCTTTCTTTCACTTTCCTTTAGTAACGTGCTTTTGGATTTGTCAGACAGCTTCGCCATATCCAGGGCTATATCCGTAATTTCTTTCCTGATTTCTGTTGTTTTCTCGTCATTGGTTGTGTGATTGTTTGAGTATTCTGTTTGAGAGCTTGATTGTCCTAGTTGATCTAGTGTATCCGCATTCGTCTCGTCCGATTTGGTTTCTGGGGGTGTATCTGTTCCGAGGATAGGGGTAAGTGTTACATTTAGGTCTGATTGTTCCGGATTTTGATTTTGGCTAGACATGTTGATGTTGAAAATTCTGTCTTCAGAGCAGGTTTGGGAGTCACAGTCCGTCTTACTGTGTTGAGTGCATTTGCATATGTTGCAGTGAATCACACCATGTGCAATGCACTTCTTCATTTATGTTTCGTCGTTGTGTCAAGGAGTGAGAGCGGCGCGTGGCGTGACGTCGCGTCTCGTCGCCGCGGGAGCGTGGCGCGTAGCACGCAGCGGCGCAGTGGCGGGCGGCGGCGGCGGCAATGAAGCGCGGCGGCGCGGCGGGCGGCGATAATAAGGCCGGCGGCAGTGGTGTGTAGTGGGAGTAGTTCACAGTTACGTTGATCTAGTAATTGATACTGGCTCTGTCATCGTCTTCTGCTCATGCGCACTCATGCGCTATGGATGTGGGGGTTTATCAGTTGCTCTCCAGTTTTGAGATTTAATCAGTGCATTGTTGCCGTAATTTGTCTCAAGCGCGCATGCGCGAGTTTAAAATTTTTGGCGAGTGAGTGGCCAAGTGTGGCAAGTTTGCGATTGCACAACACTTTTAGGCCACCACACTGCGCACAAAAAACGGTCCGAAATCGGCCCTAGGGTCGCCGAGGGATCAAAACAGACCACCACAGATATGCACGTTGAGGTGCTGCATCCGCAGATACCAAAAAAGTTCAGAAAAAACTGTTTAATCGTACTTTAAGGTTAAAGAGGTTGGGAGTCGAGCAAAACACGTCTGTTCACAGTGAGTGCGTAGTTGCCAACCTGATAAATGAGATTAAATCATAGATTATCAGAGGCTGTTATAAACATAGTTATTGAGAAATGAATGAAATTTCGCAAATAGGAGTAAATTTTTGGAACGTGAGTCTGATAATCTGTAATGAGACTTACCAAAAAAAAAGTGAAGTATTAAATTGTTGAAGTAAAAGGCGGAAGTTTGCGGTTTTTCAATTGACCTAACTCCGTATTCACTTGTCTCTTGTGTTTGGCAAGATTTTTACACCAAAGTATTAAAAAGTAAGCAAATATTCCCAAAAATAGCATAAAGAGAAGGAAATTCTGGATAAAGTCTTGTGAAAACTGTAAAATATGGTATTCGTTGTATGAATCTTTGAAATTCGAAGTTACGTCGTTTGAAGCGAATCCCATTTTAGCACAAATGAAATGTAGCACGAGTACAGGATAGAGATAGTTCGTAATGGAGTAAGTCTGAAAAGCATCTAATGTTAGCAGAATTCAGAAACACGAAACAAAAATTTAATATGACGGAAAAGGAAATGAATATGATGGTGATTTCGTAGAAATCGAATCAATAAGTTTGCTGAATGCAGCGCGTATGAAATTAATCATTGGTTTCCGTAAGATCTTGCTGGATAAGGTTTTAATCGCGAAATGTGAATTACTTCATTTGAAAGGATGCCTCTAATGGGCATTTCCACTAAGTAGTTCACATCAGATTCTTTCGATATAATCTTAAATGGTCCTTTGTATAGGGGATCTAACTTGGAATTTCTCTTTGTTAGAGTTACCATAACTTGGTCTCCAGGTTTAAATGAAATTTTCGTAATGGATGCATCATGACGTGTCTTGTCTTTGTTTTGACTGTCAGCTAGAATAGTAGGAATGGTTTTGCGTAAATCTTTTAAGAAGTCAGTATGTTCCAGAAGGGATTTATCTTGAGTTGGAGGGGGTAAAATTGCGGAAAGGGAAGTGTTCGGATTGTAATCATATAGCAAATAAAATGGTGAAAACTTAAGAGATTCATTTACCGAAGAATTATAAGTGAAAGTAATCCATGGCAACAAAGTAGTTCAGTTTTTACGTAAATCATTTAGATAATGTCTAAGAATGGACATAAAAGTTTGGTTAAAACGTTCTACTAATCCTTGTGATTGAGGATGATAAGCAGCAGAATGCAGTCTCTCTATTTGCAAAGACTTGCATAGGGAGTCCATTAACTGGTTGTTAAAGTGTGTTCCTCTATCTGAGCTGATTTTGTGTACAAAACCATGCAATGGAAGTAATTTAGTCAATAAAAAGGTAGCAACAGTATTGGCATCAGTAGATTTCGCGGCGGACGTAACTGCGAAGTGCTGCGAACTGCTCTGAAAATCTAAAGTAGCTTTTGCAAATTTCAAGAATGTATCTCCTAGAATAAGGGGACATTGTAAATCCTCTACTACATAAACAAAAAGTACAAAGTTGTGTCCCTCTAATTTATCGATAGAAAGAAAACCTTTTTTGATAATCCGTAATGGATCGTTTGAAGCCGACCGTATAGTTATCGCATATCCGCGCGCTGATTTTACTAAATTCGCGAAAGATTTTGAGCATACACATACGCTAGCGCCAGAATCGATTAATCCATAAGTCTTGGTTTTACCGATTTTCACCGTTATATAGGAAGATAAATTACTATTGAAAGAGCATAATTTCGGGTTACGTTCAATTGGTTTGGGGGTAGTGTCAGGGAGGGGAGGAAACTTTTCTTTAAGTACAAGAGTATGTAAAAGCGGTTTGGCGGCAACTTTACGTGACTGTGAGGCAGTCGATGAAATTTTTGTTTTTTTTCACGTTTTTTTATAGCATTGTTTTCCACTCCACTTGAAATTTTTCCGAGGGAATCCACTTAATGGAAATTTCGATTATTCCGTCTACTCATTCTACAAGATGGGAGGGGACAATCAAAGATAATATGATCTGTTGCCTTGCAATATTTACAGATTTTTATATCACAATCGATCTTTTCATGCGGTCCCGCGCAAATAGGGCAAGAAAATTTGTTACCAGATGAAGATGACTGCATTGGGGGTGGCAATTTTTCCTGTTTAAAAAACTTTTTCTTAAATTTCTTCTGCTGTTCGGAATCATTTTTACTTTGTGATGTCTGAGGATTCTGAGACATTGATAAAATTTTTTGTTCAGTATCCAATGGGGAGGATAAATGTAATAGCGATTCACGAGCCAGAAAATTTTTTACTGCTGCGTCAAATTCCAACATACTTTTACGCGGAAATAAGGTGATAGTTTCTTTAATAGAAGCAGGCAAAGACGAAAGAATATAAAATATGATTTTGCTGTCTGATGGCGATGGATTTAATTTTAAGCATAAAGTTTTCACCTGAAAAACATGTTCCATCAGCTTAGTTGGCTCTGTGAGTCTCAGATTTCTGAGTTGTAATTCAATTTTATTTTGCAAATCTTCGTCTTTAAATTGTCTACTAAAATTTTCGTAGAACTGGTCATATTTCAATGGCGTGTATTTAGTCCGAAGGAGTTTAAAAAAAGAAAGAGCTTCTAGTCTAACGCAAAGCACGCCATGCCACCGGACAGCACATCTTTTGCAAAACGCGTAACTCTATTCCAGACTGCAAGGCCACTAAGGGCGCTACGTTGGAAGTTTTCAGTCGTAAAGTCTTCGCCAGGAGCTGCAGAGATCTCAAGTCTCGGCCTAAAAAAACGGTCATAATCGGAAAACGTATGGTGAGCATCGTCTATCACGTCCTCGGCACAAATAACACAGCTGGATGATTCCAAGATAACAGGAATACCTATAATGTGCAACACCTTAAGAATAAAAATTCACCAATTTTAAACAAATTTAATTTTTTCATTTTGAAGGTATTAAATTTCCTTTCTCCGGCTTTGGCACCAACTATTTTGATTGTGTACAAAGTTATGGTGATTGACAAACGGGCCATTGAATCACAGGTATCAGCTCCTCCCGCGGGACTGCTGGTACACCTGTAGAGATCACCAATATAACTTTTTACAATAATAAATTGGTATACTTCAGAAAATGATAAAAAATCTTCCGTAGATAATGCGGGAAGATGTTGAATATGATTGGCGCTAATCGGCTCAAATAAAACATTTCTCCGAATTAAGTGTACCTTCTCGACAATTGACTGAATGATATTGGGCGCATTAAGTTTTTCTAGCATCCGAGTCGCTACTTCCAGATCATCAGAATCACTCGATAGGCGAGCAAAGAAGCAATTGTGCATTTCACAAACTATATGCAAGTCTTTAAGTGAAAATGGTGCCTGAACAGTCGGCACAAGATCAGTGAAATATTTAAATCTTTCCACCGATCTGTTTACACTCTCCACGACCCAGCTCAGTTTCGTGCACTGTCTACTTTCGTTTGCCTCTAAACACGTTAACTAGGCACCTCCTCTCTTACATTTTGGATTAGACACATTGTAACCTTTCGACTCTAAATAATCTTCCACTCTCTCAAAACCCCAGTCCAAGATAAAGATGTCTCCTGGATTGAAAAATATTTTAAACCAGTCCAGCTGGGAGAGGCTCCTCAAGATGTCCGCGTCCGAAACTGTACCGGCTAAAAAAGTTGTTAAAATGATTTTCATTTGCTAAACATTTGTATTTAATTTTAAAGGTTTACTTAATATTTGGACGATTACTTTAGAAAATGACAGGAAGGAGTGCAAATATGCGAAAAGTCGCAGCCAATTGTCACCGCAGAGGTGCCGGTAATAGGGCGCCAAACATACAAGGTTCACGCGCGACAAGTCAACTTTGAAAAATCATAACTCAGGTCTAAATCGTTTTCCCGGGATTATCTTGAGCTTGTTTTAAATCTTAGACGGTTTACTTTCATAAAAAAAATAGTTTTGTAATTTTCCGTGCGTTCCCTTCAACGTTGCGGCTCAAAATGTAAAAAATTGAAATTTTGAGCTACGGCAACGTGGCAACAATGGATGAAAATTTCAAAACGGACCAATTTCGTGGATACCAGCTGAAATATGATAATTTTATCTAAATTTTGAGA